TTCAGTGAAAATGGTTTTAAAATAAATACAATAAAATGCTTGTTAAAGCAAAGTTATTCTAATTTAGCACATCATTCATAATTTTTCATTGATCACATACCTAACATGAAGTCTGCACCGTAGAGCTCAAAGATGTTTTTGCGCGAATTCATCAGATCCTGTGTTGTTTGTAAAGTGTGGATCACAGCCTTCTTCATCCCTGGGACTACCACAGCCTGCCACTGGGCTTCCTGGCCCTGGCTGGATAGAAAGGTCCTGAACTGGTCATCTGACCACATGTTGTCTGCTGGGATACCTTGATGTCGTTGCCGGGAGGGCCTCAGGTGCTTCTGGATTGAATTGTTGCACAGGTGGACAGAGCTGAAAGGGGATAGAAGGCAAGTCTGTTTCTGCATCAACCTCACAGATTGGCTTCAAACCTTTCCTAAATCAACTTCTTATTGGCTGAGTTAGTTTTTACTATACGACAATACAAAGACAGGTACAAAAACATAAAAGTTCTCATTATTCAATTCCAATTTAGCCATGAAAGTAAACAGGCAAGGGTCATTTTAAATATTCTACCAGGTTATGGAAAATAAACTAAGAAACTAGACTAAGAAACCCCCCCCCCCCCCGGGCCTATTGTAAACCTTCATCTCTCAAAGATAGAGGACAATTACAAGAACAGAGTTATAAGATCTACCTCCCTCTCAAGACAATTAAGTTCCATTACTAGTATCACAGTCTTACCGGTCAAGTTTATCTAGTGAGTAAGGCTGCGTAGAAAAGCGCAAGTAGCACTTCTTATAAAACCACACAGTCAATGGGTTCCAGTCTGTGACCAGGAACCACTGCCGCATATCAAATTTGGTGCCGTGGACTAGAAAGGGCCGCTCCAGGTACTTCTGCACCACCCACTTGTCTTCCATAAGCGGAGTTGAATCCCCATCCACGATTCTGAGGATCTGATCCAAACGTTTGAAGCATTTAATGCCTAGAGGGCAGATGCAGCAGGTCAGCCAGAGCAATCAGATGAATTGTTGTATGTCTGATAGGGCCTGTTATCTCACCTCTGCCTCTGGACTTTGCCCCAGGTTTAATGATCCAGATGTTGTGTATGCCCTCTATGTCTAGCTGTGGACTGACTTTCTCCAGCCTCTGTAGCATGGCTTTACATGTGGGCACCAAATCATCGCTGACCTCGACCTCTGCTCCCCCACTGATTGAAGGAACAGACGCAGAGAGAGAACACATTGTAAGATAACTTAGTGCACTCTAATCAGGACAGTTTCCTGTTAGTCCTACTCACTGAACAACCAGGTAGTAACTGTCAATGAACTCCGTCCACTCCTGCTTTGAAATCACTTGCTGCATGTCCAAGCTTTTGTCAATGTCATTATGCTCCAGGCTCTCCAGGAACTCCTGGCATACTTTGACCGCAATGTCAATCATTTGGGAAAGGACCACCGGCCTGTTGCAGGTTGTTGCAGCAGATAAAGCAAAACCTCTATCTGTTGCAGTTGTCTGTGCATGTACAGCCTGGACCCTCTCCACTATGTACTTTAACAGACTGGTGCAGGCTGTCCGCTTGAAGTCCTCTACACAAATGAAGACAGAAACAGAAAGGCAAGAATTATAAGCTGAATTAAATGCATAAAGATGCTGGTAAATATAAGATGGAGAAACATCTAGTTTGATGAGCCATAAAGTTAGACCTGACCAATAAAATCATGCTTTTCATCCTTCGCTCCTAGTCTGTAACAGCGGGGGAAGAAGGTATCTGGGTCTGAATCAAACCAGTGCAGGTTCCTCAGGTTCACACACAACCCCACCTGACAAACAGAAGACACACATGATAGTGGGCTGACCACTGGAGCACCATCGAATTATAAAGCACTGATAATGGGACATTCATGTACCTTGGTGCTGAAACTGCCCGCCTGCACAAAATGATTGAATATCTCTTTTTTCTGCAAACTGCTGGCATTAATGATGTCTCGACGACTTGTCCAATAGAAATAGACCACTTCATTCCTCACCAAGTGAGACTGGGTGAGACACGTAAAACGATGACAGTTCAATCTTATTAAGGTCAGCACCATATCTTCTTTTCTTTGTGTTAGCTTAAAAGTGACCATAAAATGTTTTTTGCTTTTTTTGTTTTTTTTTACCATAAGATCATGCAGCCTATCTTCATCTTGCTCTTGTTCCACATCATCTGAGTTGTCTGAAATGAAGATGAGATGAAACAGTAGCGAGATATTTAAAAACAAATTAGAATAAAAGTGATTGCTGAAACAATCATATTGCATCTTGCTCACCCTCATCATCATCACCAGTGTCATTAGAGCTGGCTTTGCCCTCATCCCTGTGTCGCCGGTGAGCACGTTGGTTTGGATTTGTGCGCTGCTCAACCCAGCCTCTGGCTCTCAGCGCTGCTCTAATGACTGGGTAAGGGCCCTGAACAGAGAATATCTTATGCATCTAAAAGAAATAAAAGAGGGGAATGGAAAAAAACAAAGGGAATAATGGTCATCTTAGTTGAACATTTTAGAAATTTGCCTTCATCCAGTAAAGTTAACCCACTTTAATTGCCTTCTTTGCACGGGCTTTGGCTGTATGCAGTCTCTCTGGGTTTAGAACAGGTAGGCTGCCAAAACTGCAAGGAACTTTGCTCTCAGGAGATTTGACTGGTACAAAAGACAAATGCAGACAAAAAAAATAAGGCAGAAAAGGAACTTGTTAGTTGGCTGTAAAACTCATAAGACATAATATTGTTTTGCTGTACATAAAGTGAAATAACTCAGCTCGTTTGTTGTCAACTTTCAGGTATACCTACTTGTTTGTTGCTTTCTGGATTTATCTTGGTTACATGGCTGGACCATAGCTGTGACCTTCTGGTCCAGCGATGCGCCTCTGGTTTCCCTTGCTTTTATCATACAAAGAGTATTTCAGTACAATGGCTAGTTTAAATTAGTTTGTCAGTTGAGCCAGAAGCCAATCTTGTACGTTACCATGCATGATATATTTAGCCTTCTTCAAGGGGATAACATGACAACACTAACCAGTCCAGTAAGGGGGTGAAGAATAATTTGAACAAATGCCAGATAAAAAGAAATTCCCAACATGCAAAATAGCAGATACACCATGGCAACGACCCCAAAGACAATGCATCTAAAGCTTAAAGCTGGACATCTCCAGCCGGAGCATAAAAGAGCAAAGTCATAAAAATGTAATACATGGCCTGAGTTCAAACATTTTGCCACCTGTCCTGAATGTGAACTGATGATTAATTCATGCTTTGTGATCTATAAGTTACCCCGATGAATACTGTCCTTTAGAGGTGTGAAGTCATAGCCTTCTTGTTTCAGTTTAGAAATTGGTCCAACAGCAGAAGCTTACATCAAGAAAATCCAGCCTTTTATCTGATAACGGCCCCATTAAAATATTACATCATAAAACAACAGAGATGACATGTGGAAAATCATTTTTTTTTTAATAATTATTCAAGGACTTATACCTACTAGGGAGCAGCCTCTTGGGTGACTCTTTTTTTGCGATATAAAATGATGGGGTCACATATTTTTTGATTGTTTGTTGCATTAAAGAAAATACAACCCAGTGACCTTAATTCTTACCTGGTCCTTGCAATATTAAGACTGTATTGATTTCTGTGTCTCACCTCTGTATGGAAATGATTTGCAGAGTCTGTCAGTATCCTGGTGTCTCTCTTGGCCAAGCTTCACTGACTGACTTGATCTGGTGGCCTCCATACTGATATCAGCCCTCGTTTTCCTGGGGAGCTTTTCCTCTGCTCTGTCTCGTGGTTTGGTAAGACACAAACGGCTGCAGAGGACACACAGTATCAGCTTTGAGGCAACAAGCATACAGTGCATAGCTTACACACGTAAAAAATATCATAAACAATGATGTAAATCTATAAACAACTGCAGTGGTCTTGCAACGTTGACTACTGGTCTGAAGGATTAGCCTCTCCAAGTGCAGTGGACTATAAAGTAGGTCAAGTTTCTGTGTGGGAGACAGCTTGACTACACACCTGAGGTTTGTACCTAACATCCCCTTTCCTTCAATGACCTGTAAAACAAAAAGCAAAATGTTAACAAATATGTTGACGTTTAACATATTAAAGAGTAACTAAACCCTAAAACCACTTTTAGGAGTGAGTGGCCCTCCCTCTTGAAGTTGATACATTGACATTGTAATGCATTTTTTTAAATTCCAGGGTCGAGCATTACAGCTGAAAATATGGGGTTTAGTTACCCTTTAACTATAGCCTATATAGGTATATCATTATATAACAGAAATTCACATATTCAATATAGAGGTCACTCAGCCTTATTATAGGATTTCGCCAACACAGGAAAAGTTGCTCAGTTTACACGGTTTACCGGTTGTGTTCACAGAGGGAATGCACGGTGACTTGCGACCTGTATATTGTTACTATGGCAACCCCTGAATCGTTCCTGACGCTTACATCAACAGACAGTGTTTTATATCTCTATGCACGTAAGGTGACTACACGTAAACATGTTTGTTACAAAAACTTAGTTATGTTGTGTATGTATGTTATGTATGAATAAAATTAAAGTAAATATTCGTCTTTGTTTCACCTTTACGTGACCGTGAAAGCACAAGTTTATCCCAAAGTTATATTATTTTTTATTATTTATGAGGTCTACGCGGTTTAGAAAAGATCCTCCTTTTAAAGTTGACGCCCATGTAATTGTTGTAGCTGCAGCCAACTGTAGCCTACTCTGGTAAAATAATTTAATAAATTGCTAAAACATTGTGATATTGTTTATTTATTTATTTGCTACGGATCTTAACAAATGCAATAACTTTTTTACATAAATTTTGAAAATGTGTTAAATGTTTGTATTCTTTAAATGTGTCTCGGATCTGTCGCCATCTTGGTTTAGATGGCCCCGCCTGTGCTGCGCTGTGATTTGGGGCGCCTGTACGTCAGCGTCTGACGTCTTACGTAAGTGCTAGCTACTCCCTCCGTCAGTCTGTGCAGATGGTCTGTGCCCAGGCAAATCCTCTGTACTTTCGTTTACTCTGAAATATGCGACAAAGCCACGAGGCCACAGAGTTAACTAGCACAACTCCGCAATATTAAAACACTCTCCACAGGTAAGTACAACGTTATTTATGTTATCGGGGCCATTAATTGCCACATAAAACGAAAAGTTTACTGACCAACCATGCGCCTACTTGTCAACACTGAGGAATAGTTGATGTTTACATTACCAACTTGTGTTGAACTTCTTCCTCGGTTGTATGTAGACGTCCGTTTCGACGGTAAAATGTGTGGAAGAACTGCGTGCACGCTTGCACCCGACGAGGTAAGTCGAGCCTCCGTCTACAGAAACCGAGGAGGGCGGCGGAGACAGCCCCGCTGGAGGGATGGAGATGCAGACAAATATCGACCCTCTTACAACAAGAGCCCTCAGTCCATGAGTCCAGTTCTGCTGTCCGGGAGACATTTTGACAAGGTAATCAAAAGTGCACCTTTACTTACCTGGGTGAGGTTAATAAAATGTTTCAGGCGAAGGACTACAAAAACAACCTGAAGGTTAGGTTATCGATATAAGGATATTATGATTGCACAGTAGTGAAAATGATTGTTTTCTGTTTAGATGGTTAAACTACTTTCTGTAATCTCTAACAAAAAGATACCGATAATTCAATGCAAGAACACCACATCTTATCTAAATCTAAAATAATTAACCAATCCATATACAATCCATTAACAGTTCTCAGTCCCAGTCAGGATCATATGAGATGAGATTCAACTTTATTGTCATTACACATTTACAAGTAAAGAGTAACGAAATGAGGTTTGGCATCTCACCAGAAGTGCAATAAGCAGAAAGTGCAAGAATTTGTGTAATTACAAAATTTACAGATGTAGACTAAAACAAAAGTGAATTATTGAGTATATATGGATGGCTGGATTAATGGGATGCTATAAATATAAATAAATGCTATAAATACAAGTATATTTTTAGGATTATAATATACAGATTAAGGTGCAGTATATGGGCTGTTGTTAGCCTCTCAATGGATATTATTTTATCAGTAGATGCTCTTACCATGTTGTATTGTTGTATTTTTTAGGATGCTGCTGTGGATGAGTGTGTGTTAACATCAATGCGTTGGGGTCTGGTACCTGCTTGGTTCAAGGGGAAAGACCCCAGCGAGATGCAATACAGCACCAACAACTGCCGCAGTGAGAGCATATTGCAGAAGAAATCTTACAAGGTGCATACAGTTCGAGGCACTGCTAAGCTTAGTTGTATTTCCAGTGCTGTACATCTGACTCTGTTCGCTGGAAGTGTAACCACAAGTGGGTCTAACCTCTGTTGTCTCCCTTAAGGACCCCCTGATAAAGGGACAGCGCTGTGTCATCCTGGCTGATGGATTTTACGAGTGGAAGAGGCAGGAGAAAAACAAGCAGCCTTACTTTATTTATTTCCCTCAGAGTCAGGAGAAAACCAAGGCTCAGGATGACCCCACAACCTCATCTGGCAACGAAGACAATTCAGAGGCTATGTACTCCAAAGTTCAGGCCTCACCTGAGTTGACAGAGGTTCGTCTTGGTTTTTCAAAAGCTTTACAACAATGCTTGGGTGTCACATTTCTTTGGAGCCCCTGAAATCTCAAAAAGTAAAACTACCATTCCGTTAATTCTGTTCTTGCTAGATTTGATTGGTCCAGGAGTAATCCATCATAGCATAGTCCTGTAATGTTTTGCTCAGCACTAGATCCTCCCTCTTTTATTATTGCTTATAGGTAGACGACTTCTTTCTCGCCTTTCTCCTGGACCAAGTTGAAAGCGTAGACTGAATAGAAGTTTACAAATAAGAATAAAAGTGGAATTATTTGCATCCTATGGTTCTGTTTGTGTGCGTGTCCCTGACAAGAAAAGCACACACACACAAACACACACACCCATAACAGATGATGCCTTCCCCTGTCCTTTGCAAGTTCCCGCAATGAAGAGTTTGAATAATCCTGCCTACCATGACCTGACCGACCTCTCCTCAGAGAAAGTCAGTATTACCTTAACCAGCTGCATATAAGTCCTCTACATCTGCAATACAAGGACTATGAGCATGTGCGTTCATTCAGAACAGAAGTAGAAAGAATGCAGCTGTGGCGGAAATTACCATGGTTGAGAAAATCTCTCATGGGACAGAAGCCAAAGCAGAACTGTGCATGTGTTCACCAAGTCATTTCTGTGCATTTACATTTTATGCTGCATACAAACGTTGTGGTTTTATGTAAGTGCCAGGCTAAGAGGTTAAAAATGACCACCATACCAATGAAATATGTCATGTTTTTACTTTTCCTTTATTTCTGCTCGTTGCAACATGTCCAGGAAGAAGATGCACAAGGTGAGTGGACTGGATGGAAGTTGCTGACTATGGCTGGAGTGTTTGACTGCTGGACACCTCCAGGTGGTGGAGAAGCCCTTTACACATACAGCGTCATCACTGTGAATGCTTCTCCAAACCTGCAAAGTATCCATGACAGGTATGGATAGTAAACAGGAGGGTAACTTGCCATTTCTCTACATCCAAGTTCATATGAAAAGCTAATTTACTATGTGGTTTTGTTTTAGAATGCCAGCGATCCTGGATGGAGAGGAAGAAGTGAGACGCTGGCTTGATTTTGGCAAGGTGAAATCTCTGGATGCCTTGAAACTACTGGAGTCTAAAAACATTTTGACTTTTCATCCTGTCTCTTCACTTGTCAACAATTCACGCAACAACTCCCCAGAGTGCCTCCAGCCTGTGGGTCCCAATAGCAAAAAGGTATTAGAGTTAATGTTGTAAATATTTTACTCACTTTGACTGGATAATTCAGCAGTAAAGTTTCAGTCTAGAGTTTTCAGCTGACAAATCTGTTCCTTGACCCCAAGGAGCCCAAGCCCACAGCCAGCAGTAGGATGATGGCGAGCTGGCTGAAGAGCAGTGCACCGTTGAAGAGGAAGGAGCAAGACACGTGTGAGCGTAAGAAGGATAAAGAACGCAAGCCAACTGGAGGGCTTCAGGGAGTCAGTAAAAAACCAAGAACCACACGAAGAACTTGAACCGAAAACTCAGCAGTATCTAAAAAACAAGGCCCTATTTATCCACCTTTCACAGTTTACTGCTATTAAATCAAGTTTGTTTGTTTATATATGTTGCAACCTTTTTTATAATTAAAATATGCAACACAGATTATATTTCATTTCAAAATGTTTTCAATAAATTGAAGAAATCAACACGGACTGCTTTATTCAAGATTTTTATTACCCTTATTACTTGAAACGCAAAGACATTTTGAAACAATGTAGATGCTATGCATTTATCATATTAATATTATAATAATGATGAATGCAAATACTTCCCCCCCACATTTTTTTTTCTATTTTTCAAAGTTACATTATGTTTTTCTATCTCGTAGTCTATGATGCATTTCAAAGTTTTAACAGAATATGAACAGACAGTTAACGATCTGATCGGTTAAAAGAAATGTCAAGCACTTAAAATTGTTTGCCAACACCAACAACTGGCATAGTCAGATATGGAGATTTACAACAGAACATTTTGCCTTCCTCACAATGATTGAGAGGTTTTGCAAATATACAAAGTCTTGCAATAGTTGACAGTAAAAAGAAATGTACTAGCTAATAGTACGCAGTTATGAATGATATTTATACTCTAGGCAAATCTCTCTTCTCCAAGACTATCAGGTAGAATGACATGCTGTCTTGATTTGGTTCCTTCCCATGTCAGATGTGGCACCAAGAATAACTGATTACAAGACGAACCTTGGTGTCCCGAATATAGGAACAGCGCTAACACGAGGGAGCCGAGTCTGGGTCCTAGCAATGCCCCCAACCTGAGCTACATCTGCATTTATTGTGGCTCTAAAATGAGATGTCTGAACAAGTCTATAGTTATTATGAATGACAGCAAAGTGCCCTCAACAAAAGATCATAACACATTGGTCTGACGGACTTGTCAGACCGGATCAGGATTTTCTAATCTGTGCCAATCTTCAAGAATCAGCAGGCAGCAAATTAATGTGATCCACACATGCACCTTCACTTATTCTGATCCTTCACTACTTCAGTTCTGACTCCCTTTTCAGGTATCAGGGCTTGTATGAGTTAAAGTGAAACAAAGTGTGTTGGAGTTGAAACAAATTTAAGCCACAATGCAACTGGGTAAAATGGGCAGAGCAGTGTTTCCTCTTTTCATGCAGCAGTGGCGGGCTGTGAGAGTAAGAAAAACAACCACCACTGCTAAAGAAACTTTGATTCAAACAAACAAAAACAAAAAACATTTTTTTTAACTTTACTCATCAACACATACATGTAGAGATAATGCTTCAATTTACCACTTAAAGTTTCCAAGTAAAAGCAGTATGGACCAAAACTGGGTGTGGAAGCAGCGATACACATGGAACTGCAAATGAGATGAGCCCAAACCACCATCACCATGAAAAATTATGTAGTGGAACACTGGAAAGTAAAGAGCAACATAGAAGTAAATTTCACGTTTCCTTAAGGTGTTCTTTGGGCTAAGAGACTCTTCTTTTATAGAAAATGTGTTTTGTGTACATAAGGAGGTGAGTGCAGCATGTTTGTGTGTAGTTGTATACTCTATGAGTGGGATGCTCCTTGTATGTTGGGCGTTGGAGATTAACACAGTGGGCCATGGGAAAAGGGGATATATAGACAAGGCAAGACAGGGTAGTGAGGGCAGTGACGACCCCAGAAGATCTTCATAGTCCTCAGCAGCTGCATGTCTCAGCTGACGGCTTGGCTCGCTCGTTCCTGTCCAGCTTTATCGGCTCAGGGAACTCATTGTACAACTCCACCTCGGTCTCCTGCAAACAGACAAATGAGGCGAGTTATTATGTTATTTATGTGCGACAGTGGGTCAAACTTCCAGCTAGGATTTCTTGTTGGCCTCAGTTACCTGTTTAAGGGCATTGCGTGCAATAGTCTGGAAGGCCTGCTCCACATTGATAGCCTCCTTGGCGCTGGTTTCGAAATAAGGGATGTTGTTCTTGCTCTGACACCAAGCCTGTGCTCGCTTGGTTGTTACCTGAAACACAGGAAGAACCGATGCTATACTTACAAACACCACACTCATGAGAGGGATAGCTTAATCCAATCTATTTTTAAAAACTTGCATTACTCTGAAGTCTAAACTTCATCTGGAGGCTTCACAAATTGATAATCACAACTGTACACATCTCTTTGAATATAACAAATGGTACACGTTACAGTGCACTTTTGCAATTATCTACACCCACCTGTCTGTTCTCCAAGTCGATCTTATTGCCCAGTACCACAAAGGGGAAGTTCTCTGGGTCTCGGGGGCTGGCCTGGATCAAGAACTCGTCTCTCCAGCTGTCTAGAGTCTTGAAAGTGTTGGGTGCAGTCACGTCAAACACCAGGACACAGCAGTCTGCTCCACGGTAGAACGCGACGCCTAAGGACTGAAACCTCTCCTGACCTGCTGTGTCCCAAATCTGACCAACAGAGCGAGAGCATGCATCAACGACGACACAGTGTTTACAATCACTAAATAATGGGATTACCGTAAATAAAGAGATTAAGGTAATTCCCTGAGTGCAGTCTTCATAACATTAACCAGATCTCCCTGATTATCTGCACTAACATGGTTTATTTAATAACAGATGTCATGTCTTGAGATATGTGCAGTAAAAAAGTACCATACACAAAACTCCAAAGACAATTAGTTTTTCATTGATTGATTTTTTTTTTTTAAATACATGTAGAAGTTATTCTGCATTGAAAAATGGATGTCCTGAGTTGGTTAAGAGTCCACTATAATCAAGACAATTTGAAATCACTGATCCTTAAAAAAAAGATTTTAAAATGAGGGTTAAATTTGACATGAAAGTACAGAAGGACTGGTAATGAAAAGACCTTTTGGGATGATGGTATTGTTAATAGGCCTACACAGTGAACATGAACATGGTATAATGTTTTAATAAGCTGCTGTTAAGAAACAGTATTTAAAACAACAATGTTGTAGTGATACTCCTTAAAAGCCACTGGCAGTCCGTTGTTATTGTGGAAATCAGAGTAAGTGTTTTGTTTTCAAACTTTTTTGTTTTTTATTGCATTCAGTGATTTTAAAGATTTGACAATCATGCTTCTCTTAGAGAAAGTGACAGTGTGGTGTGAGTTGTGTCTCATCATTACCTGCATTGTGACAAGTCTGTCATCCACCATCACTTCTTTCGTCAGGAAATCAGCACCTATTGTGGCTTTGTACTGGTTACTGAACTTCTTATTCACATACTGGTTCATCAATGAGGTCTTGCCAACTCTAAAAACAAAATCACAGGACAATATTTTTGAACATATAACCAGAAAGTGTCACCTTTATGATCTGAAGGGTAAAGCTCCTAATGAAGTACTTTCTTCACATTAAACCATTTGGCATCCTTCAGTTTTGACACAGCTCTACATCACTCACCCAGAGTCTCCCAGAATGATGACTTTGAGTAGTACTTTCTTCCTTGATGTCATTGTGCCACAGCTGTAGAGACACACATTTACAGAATTAATTTTAAATGAAGCATTGAATTGGGCGATGGACGCAGCCATTCAGTGGTGACCCTTGTGATATAAGCCAAGCAGTTTCACTTGAAGGTGTTAAAAAGGCCTTAGTGTTTCTTGAAATACACTCCAGGAACTGGGAACCTTATAGGAATAATTGCAAAGCTGTCTCTTAGACAAGAGATTTCTTCACTTCACAAACAAAGGAAATACAGTCCAAGGTATATTCTACCATGAGGCCTGAATAACAATTAATGCAATTAACAACTCACTACTATGTCTGGGTTTTATAGAAAATACTGTTTTGCAATATTAATGCTGCTGGTTTAACATTTAATGGAAAAGAGCATTGTTTCATTTACAAGAAATGAAATCCAAAATTGAACACATACACAGTTTGTTCATACACTCAGACTTCTGTGTTTCTTGTAACTCCAAATCAACAGCCTCAACCTATTATTTCTTAAAATGAAAATTAGATACAAAAATAACAGACGACTTTTGTTCAGTAATGTGTACACATTATTAAACTGAAGCGTGTAATACTCTCATATTAATTGATAGAACTAGCTGAAATTTCACTCATAACAGGAGCCTGAGAATGTTGTACTAAATCATCATATTCAACAACTTTATCTTTGAGCCTGCTCAATCAACACCAAGCATTTGTGAACTTGGCTGACTGTGCTTTGTAATAATAAACCAACACATACAGTTGCACTGACCAAAGTCCACACAGCGTAACCTTCGGGGTTTAAATCATAATTCTGTTCAGGTTACACCTTGGATAAAGCATTATTGAAAAAAAGATTAGTCACAGGTATTATCCACACATCGCTGAACGCCTACAGCCACTGAAGTGTCTCAAACCCACTGCCTGAATCCGTATCAGTACTTTTTATGAAGCAAAACTAGCATCGAGCAATCGGTGCAGCTCTCATAATCTGCACCCCATGACACTGTGTCAGGGACTGATCACATGGTTTAAAACACACGACTAACGGAACCATGACTTGGCAAGCACGACTAGCACAGCAAATGCTATATGAATTCAACAATAAAACCTTTGTAATCCTGATTTAAGATCAACCTGTCTACCAATTTGGTTGAAAATATTTCCACTTTAAGAACTATGAGTTGTCTCTCTCTCTAATTTACCAAACGAGCAAAGCCAAAAACACGTCAAAAACATCTGCAAAGGGTTAGCTAGGTTAAACAAGCAACACATTTAAAGTACAATCTGTATATAGCTAGGTCAACAAATGGGGCACAGTGTATCCATTAGATATATAATCATGTTCTAACATGATTGAGATGCAGTATCCATCATCGATTACCATCTGACACTTCATAATTCAAGCTAACCTTTAGTCAGCTGAGCAAGCTTTATCAAAAACTGTGAAAGTTGTTGACGACAGCTACATCCTTAAGTCATATTGCAGGTAAAACATTTAACTAGAGGCAGCGTAAACCAACCTGGGCGATGATCCTGTGGTGAAATAAAATATGAAAAGTGGACTTTTCCTCTGCCTCGGTTGGAAGCGTTAGCTAACGCGTAGGCTAGCTTAGAGGCTAACTGCTCCTACAAATGTCTGCCGTAAGAAAACAACACGTCGACAGCTAAATAATCTC